TTTAGCGCTGCTGTTTTCCATAAGCGCTAAAGTATAAGAAAAAGTGTAAGCCTGCTTAAAGTATTAGTGTTTTATAAAGTTTTCTCGCAAAATGCAGTGTATCTAATACCTGTGAGTGGTTTCAAGAGTTATTCTCTCCTCTCGGCCCGGCCTGGAGCTAGCTAGGTTTTTCTCTAGCTTCCCTCACTCATCATTGCAACTACCTCTTCACCTTGATTACGATAAAAAAAAAACTGAACATAATGGGATTTACCCGCGTTAAAATGACCCATACGGGTTTAATAATAATAATAATAATAATAATAATAATAATAATAATACACATTCTGAGCTTGCTGACATTCATCGAACTAAGATGATAATATTTGTTTAAACCATCCATGTTTGTTTTATTTTCGTATATAATAGCAATTTTGCCCGGCCTGCTTGTAAACTTAACCTCTTCACTTGATGAAGCTGTCTTGTATATAAAGAGCAGAGAATGAAGTTTGTATATTCCAGCACATGCTTCTTGTTGTAGCTGGCAGTGGAGAAGGCTTTCATACTTTTGTAATCATTACTACTATTGTTGGTGCGTAGTTGTTATGTTACTTCCGCTGCTGCTGCTCCTGCTGACACTGCTGCTGCTGACACTGCTGTCGCTAATACTGCTGATAAGAGATAAGATTTCGTTCGGATTTTTAACCCCGGAGGGTTAGTCACCCAGGATAACCCAAGAAAGTCAGTGCTTCATAGAGAACTGTTTAACTTATTTCCATTGGGGTCCACAATCTTATCCCCCAGGATGCGACCCACACTAGTCGACTAACACCCAGGTACCTATTTGGTGCTAGGTGAACAGGTGTAAGGAAACGCGTCCAAATATTTCCACCCGCCGGGAATCGAACCCGGGCCCTCCGTGTGTGAAGCGGGAGCTTTAGCTACCAGCCCACCAGCAGCAGCAGCAACAGCAGCAGCAACAACACTTGATGCACAGTGGCTTACCTAAGGTATGGCACGTGCCCTGAGCACCATTTGAACAGAGGGGGCGGGGACCACTGAGCAGTTTCTATTAAAGTCAGACAAGCCATCCTCAGATAGTGGGGAAACAAATTTCTTCAGATGTATGATCTGTCTTCGATTATCATGGGTGAGAAGCACTAGGTTGGCTAGATTGTTAAACCACTTATAAAAAATATTAGGTAAAAAATGCAGTGCTAGGAGCTACATGACCAGTGTCTGATTTACCTATAGGCTAGGGCCTCAGAATCTAGGGGTCCTCCTGCCAAGGTTTATTCAGTTCAATTCAAGTTTATTCTCTATAATGGTTACAGTGTGGGTTTTACAGGTTTTGGGTATTGTGTGGTTTACATGTTATAAAATACTAATTACAGAGGGGGCCACTAGGACACCTTGCCTGGCTAGGCATTTCGAGCAGACTTAGATTAATTCTTAACATTAAATCCTTACAGATTATGGTATTAAGGCTAAGTGACTACATCATAATTTGTGAGTTTAGCAATGTGAATGCTTTTGTTTTGGCACAATACACAGTGTCTATATTGGAGTATCATAGGCAAACTTATGACTAGTTAGGATTTATTTTTTAAGATTAAGATTAGTATTTCTGGGTTTATAGTCAGTGGGTGAGTGAGTGTAATTGTGAACCACCAGGTGGTTATCATGTAGTTAGTTGTCGGGGTGTATCAGGGAGATAAGATGTCTTCTAACTGTAGTTTTGAAAGTGATGAATGTGTCTGCGGTTCTAGAGTTTTCAGGTAGGGTGTTCCAGATTTTAGGTCCTTTGAAATACACTGAATTTTTGTAAAGGTTTAGTCGAACATGGGGAATGTCATAGAGATGTTTGTGTCTGGTGTTATGCCTGTGGATCCTGTCACAACTATCAAGAAAGCGTTTTAGGTCAAGGTTAATATTGGAATTTAAGGTCCTGTAGATATAGATTGCACAGTAGTAACTGTTGATGTTCTGAACAGGGAGTAAGTTTAGATCTATGAAGAGTGGGGGGGGGTGTTGCCAAGGATGGGATTTAGTGATTATTCTTACTACGGCTTTTTGTTGGGTTATTATTGGCTTTAGGTGTGTTGCTGCAGTTGAACCCCAAGCACAGATAGCATAGGTGAGGTATGGATATATAAGTGAATATAATATTTTAGAGTTAAAAGACCACTCGGGAAAAAGTATGGCTGATTTAGTGTTTAACTATCTCACTACTGAGCTTGAAATTGACTTTTAGAAAATGCTGAGGGCAGTCTTACGACAATACTGCCAACATGGCTGGTAGGTACAACGTTATGCGGCGAAAAAAATCGTCGAAAACATTTGCAAGATTTATTCCATGCGCTGGTCACTCATTTGGTGGGCCGTTCGGCTGTTGATTGCTGCCTGGATGCAGTTAACTATTTTGGCATTAACAAAGAAATTTATACCCTTTTTTTAATCCTCCACAAAGATGGGCAGTTCTAAAGTCATTTTTGCAACGTCAGTCAATTGCATAAATATTGATCAGACACTAGGTGGTAGGCGCATTACAAAAGTCACTGCAGCTATTTTGGAAAGTTAGTGCTATTACTGAGGCCTTCGGTCATTTGTACTCTGATGTTACTGAGAAGGGTGATACTAGGCTTCAAGCTAACAATCTTTTTGCAGAAAATGGAAGAACTGGAATTCGTTTATGCAGCATTTTTTGACCCGTGTGCTCGGTCATTTTCAAAATGTCAGCAAATCCATTCAGAAATCAGAACTGTTATTGAGTACTTGTGCATGTTTGTACATTTCACTTTAGGATTTTTAAAGCAAAATTAGAGGAGATTTTCATGAGCTTGAGCAACCAGCAAAAGCCACCATGTCATATGTTAACTACAGAACTGTCACAAGGAAGTGCTCCTCGTCCTGATGCCTTGGATGAACTCTCTTCAAGAAATAATTTTATAGACCCTTTATACTAGACGCACTTGAAGCCAATATAAGAAGAGCTACTGTGTACAGTGATGTCACACAAATATTTTCCTTTCTTGCTAATCTGACAGCATCTGAACAAGAAATTCAGCAAGGTGTTGAACTGCTGATGGAAGCATAACCCAGATGTTGACCTGAAACATACTGAGGAACCTTTGCATTTTCACTTGTACGTGAAACAAAGCCATAGGCCTACAGAAGAACAGTCACTATCTCACACAGACCTTTATCAAATTATATGCAAAGAACAAAATCAAGTGGCCTTCCCTAATATAGACGCAATCTTGTGGCTGTTTCTTAGTTTAATGGTCACTAACTGCTCGGGAGAGACATTTTTTTCAAGTCTCAAAATAATTAAAAATGAAATAAGGGCCACAGTGTTTCAAGACATTGTCCGCAGTGAACATTCTGTGCATTGAAAGTGACAGACTTAGACAAACAAATTTTTGATGAACTTTTGTATGATTTTGTTATGAGTAAGGCTAAAAAAAAATTTTTTTTCTTTTTAGTTTTAGTGTATTTGATGGTTGTAGTTTTATTTTTTTTAATATGTATTTATTTTAAAGAATATAAATAAACTTACAATTTAATTTCCCTAAAAATCTTGCTTATTCCACAGTATGTTTGACATTCGGTTTTTGCAAAAAGTTTTCGGTGATAATTTTAACATTTTTTTTTTCAATCACAAAGGTACCTAACAGTAACATCATCATGTCCTTTAGAGGAGGAATTGTGAATTGCGGAATTTCAAACACCCGTCCTCATCCTCGACTTCACTGAATTTTGTTTAAAACACTATTCCATCTTCTAGTGGTGAGGGTGGGGGATTGGGAGGGGCCTAACAAGTGGAATAGCTTAGGGCCTCTTCATCTAATTCTAGCACTGTACATGGCCACATAGCTTACAGTACCACTGCTCATTGCCAACTGGCAGTGGTACTGTGAAGAAATTTTGGATTGCAGAATGTTCCTATAAAGTCGAGTCAACATGAAAATATCAAGACCTGAAGAGCTTCTTGAACTTATTGTTCAGTATGGAGATGAGAGCGTCTTCCCCAGTCTTCACATTGCTATTTAGATAATGCAGTTTCCATGGTCAAGGCAGGCTGATTTTTTTGCTCTGCTGAGTGTAGAAAGAGCAGAAACTGGAAAAAAATGAATTTGATCACATCATAGACCAATTTGCGTCAGTGAAAGCAAGGAAAGTGCACTTATAATATTCACGTAGTGCCATAATTTGTTAATTAAAAGATTAACGAGCTTGACTTGTATTTTTGAACTGATTTTATAATAAAGTTATCTAAAAGATTGGTTTCAGATGTTTGGACATGGGGCGCAATTTCAGTGCTTGCCATAGGCATTATTTACCATAGATACGCCCTTGCTACTACTGTTGTTAATGTTGCTGCTTCTACTGTTATTAAGATTCTGCTGTTGTTCCTCCACGCCTAGTGTTTATGCTGTCTGTTTTTGATGTCAACCGTCTCATTTGGCAATTAACTAAGGATCTCGAAATGAAACATGAAGTGTATTTGAGGATCTCCGCATGAAACGTGTTAATTACAGGACCAAGCTCTACTGCCCAAAACTCACGAACTAAAGTACATTCTCTCTCTCTCTCTCTCTCTCTCTCTCTCTCTCTCTCTCTCTCTCTCTCTCTCTCTCCCACACACACACACACACACACACACACACACACACACACATTTTAGTAAATACACGCTTGCAGAAACTTGTCCTGTTTCCACTTGAAAAATTCTACTTTCGTTGTGTCAGCATTTCATATGTGCTAGTGGACGGTGGAAGATTCGTGGAGCAAGGATTTTGTCAGTGTTCTCCTTGACACCCCTGCTCGCTACTGGATTTACTAAGTAACTTATGGTACTGCGCAAGTTAGAAACACTATCTTTGGATACTTACCATGTATAAATTACATCTTCCCTGTGTCCGTTGCAGAGAGAACATTCACAGAGCATTGTCACCACAAAACAACGTGATGCAGTTACAATACAATAGTGTAGTGATGTAGTGTTGTTGCATTTGCAGCTGATGGGACAGGAGGAGTGCCTGGATAGGATCAACAAGCTGGTGCAGGACGCCAAAGAGATGTGTGGAGTCTCCCAAGATACCGTGCTTGAGGGTCTGGTGAGTACACTTGGTGTTAATTATAACAAAATTAGCTATACTCAGTGTGCGGCCGCTTTATTCCATATAATTTATGATGTATACCGGGAAACAGAGCAGCGGGAAGAGGCAACACTTGTGTGTACTCACCAATAAGTGGTTCCAGGAGTCGAGAATTAGCTCGTGTGTGAATACTAGTCAGTATTGAAAGGAAACCCACATGTATACCAGGAAAACAAATAAATTTTGGTATGTATTTTTCGACCTTCAACTGAGGTCCTCAAAGAAACCACAAAAACTGTTGCACCTCAGTTGCAGACAAAATATACACACAAAATGCATTTATGGATTTGTTTTGCGAATCGTTATGTGCTCTTGTGACAAGAGCTAGATTCAGGCACTGGTTGTGTTGACGAGCAGTTCTATATTAAAAACTCAGTTGGCTCGGAAGAATGGGATTTCTAATAAGTTTCCCAGTTCGTGTATGTAGTTGCTTCGAGATTCTTTATTGTAGCTTTAATGTTCAGGTTGCTTGAACAGTGGGCTACTTTATGGTGGATCCCTCATGCACGAAAATGATGTTCGGCTGATACGATATCCCGGGGACCTGGAGGAACCTTCCAACTCTCCTTCCCTCCACCTTTACACTATAGATTGTTCAACTGACCATTTTTTCATAATGGTTTCGACCTCTCTCTCTCTCTCTCTCTCTCTCTCTCTCTCTCTCTCTCTCCTCTCTCTGGCTCCTACTATCCCCTTTCACTTCCTTACATAATCACTCCACCTCACAGTTGACCCGCTCCTCCTTACAAGACTCCCCCCCCCTCATGCAAGCCACCTTTTCCCCACGCAGACAATGGCCTCCATGCAAGCCACCCCTCCCTCTTGCAGGCCTCTCCGCTCCTTACTAGCCTCCCAATCCCTGGAGAAGAGATATGCATGGAGCAGTACAAACATTAATTCTGGGGTGCTTGAAGATTCGTTGGTTATCTTAAATTTGGCAACACCAGCTAGCCAGCCAATAATACCTAGATGTACTGCGCACTGCTAGTATCCCACGCTGTATGACCCTTGTAGGTTTATCGCTTCTTTTTTATTATAAAAATTGCTAGTGTTCCATTCACAACCAAAAACTGCAACCTCGGTCCGAGCAGCGCGAGGCGTGTAAGTTACCTATTTGTGGTTGCAGGGGTCAATTCTCAAATGGCAGTAAATAGTTATCGTGAGATTAAGAGTGTTATTAATAACATGCAAATTTGGGGAGAACCTGAGCATCCCAGAAAAAAATGTGCCACATTGGGTTTCTTGGATTATCATGGTTTATTAAACTACTTCCCCAGTTTTATTAATCCGCCTAGGTTACTAAACAGAATAAAGTGTTCTTATTTTAAGTATATTCATGTAAATAACGCGTGTACACTGTAATCTTATCCACTTTCTCATTCACCACTTCCGTGAAATTGTGCTACTACTACACACAATGCGCGTCCCTAACAGGCCCTGAGGGTATGTACTATTTTGACTATTATACTGCTAAACGGCGCCCCCTGCCCCGTGTTCACAGTACTCCTCAACAGGTACAAGGGTGCCCCCTGCCCCGTGTTCACAGTACTCGTCAACAGGTACAAGGGTGCCCCCTGCCCCGTGTTCACAGTACTCATCAACAGGTACAAGGGTGCCCCCTGCCCCGTGTTCACAGTACTCAACAGGTACAAGGGTGCCCCCTGCCCCGTGTTCACAGTACTCAACAGGTACAAGGGTGCCCCTGCCCGTGTTCACAGTACTCAACAGGTACAAGGGTGCCCCTGCCCGTGTTCACAGTACTCAACAGGTACAAGGGTGCCCCCTGCCCCGTGTTCACAGTACTCATCAACAGGTACAAGGGTGCCCCCTGCCCCGTGTTCACAGTACTCGTCAACAGGTACAAGGGTGCCCCCTGCCCCGTGTTCACAGTACTCGTCAACAGGTACAAGGGTGCCCCCTGCCCCGTGTTCACAGTACTCATCAACAGGTACAAGGGTGCCCCCTGCCCCGTGTTCACAGTACTCGTCAACAGGTACAAGGGTGCCCCCTGCCCTGTGTTCACAGTACTCAACAGGTACAAGGGTGCCCCCTGCCCTGTGTTCACAGTACTCAACAGGTACAAGGGTGCCCCCTGCCCGTGTTTTACAGTACTCGTCAACAGGTACAAGGGTGCCCCTGCCCTGTGTTCACAGTACTCAACAGGTACAAGGGTGCCCCCTGCCCTGTGTTCACAGTACTCAACAGGTACAAGGGTGCCCCCTGCCTGTGTTCAACAGTAAAACAACAGGTACAAGGGTGCCCCCTGCCCTGTGTTCACAGTACTCAACAGGTACAAGGGTGCCCCCTGCCCTGTGTTCACAGTACTCAACAGGTACAAGGGTGCCCCCTGCCCTGTGTTCACAGTACTCAACAGGTACAAGGGTGCCCCTGCCCTGTGTTCACAGTACTCAACAGGTACAAGGGTGCCCCCTGCCCTGTGTTACAGTATCAAAAGGTACAGGGTGCCCCCTGCCCCGTGTTCACAGTACTCGTCAACAGGTACAAGGGTGCCCCCTGCCCTGTGTTCACAGTACTCAACAGGTACAAGGGTGCCCCCTGCCCTGTGTTCACAGTACTCAACAGGTACAAGGGTGCCCCCTGCCCCGTGTTCACAGTACTCGTCAACAGGTACAAGGGTGCCCCCTGCCCTGTGTTCACAGTACTCAACAGGTACAAGGGTGCCCCCTGCCCCGTGTTCACAGTACTCAACAGGTACAAGGGTGCCCCCTGCCCTGTGTTCACAGTACTCAACAGGTACAAGGGTGCCCCCTGCCCCGTGTTCACAGTACTCGTCAACAGGTACAAGGGTGCCCCCTGCCCTGTGTTCACAGTACTCAACAGGTACAAGGGCGCCCCCTGCCCCGTGTTCACAGTACTCGTCAACAGGTACAAGGGTGCCCCCTGCCCCGTGTTCACAGTACTCGTCAACAGGTACAAGGGTGCCCCCTGCCCTGTGTTCACAGTACTCAACAGGTACAAGGGTGCCCCTGCCCGTGTTCACAGTACTCATCAACAGGTACAAGGGTGCCCCCTGCCCCGGTGTTCCAGTACTCGTCAACAGGTACAAGGGTGCCCCCTGCCCTGTGTTCACAGTACTCAACAGGTACAAGGGTGCCCCCTGCCCTGTGTTCACAGTACTCATCAACAGGTACAAGGGTGCCCCCTGCCCTGTGTTCACAGTACTCATCAACAGGTACAAGGGTGCCCCCTGCCCCGTGTTCACAGTACTCGTCAACAGGTACAAGGGTGCCCCCTGCCCTGTGTTCACAGTACTCGTCAACAGGTACAAGGGTGCCCCCTGCCCCGTGTTCACAGTACTCGTCAACAGGTACAAGGGTGCCCCCTGCCCCGTGTTCACAGTACTCGTCAACAGGTACAAGGGTGCCCCCTACCCTGTGTTCACAGTACTCGTCAACAGGTACAAGGGTGCCCCTGCCCCGTGTTCACAGTACTCGTCAACAGGTAACAAGGGTGCCCCCTGCCCGTGTTCACAGTACTCGTCAACAGGTACAAGGGTGCCCCTGCCCCGTGTTCACAGTACTCGTCAACAGGTACAAGGGTGCCCCCTACCCTGTGTTCACAGTACTCGTCAACAGGTACAAGGGTGCCCCCTGCCCCGTGTTCACAGTACTCATCAACAGGTACAAGGGTGCCCCCTGCCCCGTGTTCACAGTACTCAACAGGTACAAGGGTGCCCCCTGCCCCGTGTTCACAGTACTCAACAGGTACAAGGGTGCCCCCTGCCCCGTGTTCACAGTACTCAACAGGTACAAGGGTGCCCCCTGCCCCGTGTTCACAGTACTCATCAACAGGTACAAGGGTGCCCCCTGCCCCGTGTTCACAGTACTCATCAACAGGTACAAGGGTGCCCCCTGCCCCGTGTTCACAGTACTCATCAACAACCAGTAATCAGGCTACGCTTGGAAAGATGTCGTATGCCTGGTCATTATGGAACTTGAGAACGATATTAACAAAAAAGTTTTTCGTTTCACTTAAGTAAACACAACATATTTACAATATCCTAAAAAAAATATGGGACTTTTTTTTTTTTAAATAAATAAATGTAGTAAGCTGTCACTCGCCTCCGTGTTATTCTTAGTAACTGTGAGGTTCACCTTGACTCGCACCGGCCAAGAATTCACTCACTGGGCTGACTGCTTGGTCTTCATCACTCGGTATGATATTCAATGAAGACAAATTCCAACTACTCCGTTATGGAAAACTAGAGGAAATCATAGCTAGAACTGAGTATACTACAAACTCTAATCATACAATATTAATGAAAAGTAATGTGAAGGACCTGCGAGTAGTAATGTCTGAGGCTCTCACCTTCAAGGATTACATCAATGCCACAATCACATCTGCGAGGAAAATGATTGGATGGATAATGAGAACGTTCAAAACAAGAGATTCCAAGCCAATGATAATCCTTTTTAAATCACTTGTTCTCTCTGGGCTGGACTACTGCTGTACATTAACATTTCTATTCAAGGCAGGTGAAATCGCAGTTCTAGAGAATGTACAGAGAACCTTTAATGCACATGTAAGTTCTGTCAAACACCTTAACTACTGGGAAAGCTTGGGAGCATTTGACTTGTACTCACTGGAGTGCAGGCGAAAGAGATACATAATCTGCACCTTTCAGACGATGCAACACACCCTCAATGAAAAGTAGAGGCGCCATTAGTACACTAAGAGAAAACACAATAAGTGTCCGGGGCACAAGCCTGTTCAACAGCCTCCCACCAGCCATAAAGGGAATTACCATTAGACCCCTGGTTGTCTTCAAGAGGGAGCGGGACAGATACCTAAAATCATTGCCGGATCAGTCAGGCTGTGGTTCGTACTTTGGACTACGTGCGGCCAACAGTAACAGTCTAGTTGATCAGGCCCTGGTCCACCGGGAAACCTGGCCATGGGCCGGGCCGCGGGGGCGTTGATCCCCGGAATACCCTCTAGGTAGGAGCCAGATCAATCAGGCTGTGATGGATATATGGGGCAGCGGGCCTCCAGAATCAACAGCCTGGTTGATCAGACAAGCACTATACGAGCCTGGCCCATGGCCGGACTCAGAGAGCGGCGAGACTCTCGAAACTCATCAAAGGTAAAGTAAGGTTTGTGTATGTGTGGTGTTCGCACGCGTGCACATATTGTGTGTGTATGTATATATATGTATGTATATATATGTAATGTATATATATATATATGTATATTATATATATGTTAAATATATATATTATTATATATATATATA